ACAAGGGTCCTAGGAGATTTCTTGTCTCTACAGTGTCAATCGTCTTGTTGAGGTGATCTGGAATATGGCCTATAAGGCCTGTAGGCCCTTTACGATCGATAGGCCCCTCTTCCCTGAGGCCTGTGATTTTCCTCTTGCTGTATCCTGTTATTATCCCTATCTCTTCTTATGGTCTCATACTGCCTATTATATTTAGCACCACTGTCCAATCCTCCGCTCCCTTTGACAGTTTAAAGAAATGATATACAGGACTTAAGTGTTTCTTTTTGTGTCCACGGCTGCAGGATTGTAAGGAAACACCTTAATACAGCTATACAGAGTGTAGAACTGAGGAGAGGATTTCTTTGTAGTTACAGCTGATTCTGCTTTAAAGGGTTTAGCGTTGACTGTATAGATATCCTTATTTTAGTTTCTCAGTTCCATAAGTGCAATTTAATGCACCGGTTAAATTAACAAACACACAGAGCATCATGTATTTGTGTGTGTGTGTGTGTGTGCCTGTGTCTGAGCTCAAGCATATGCTTTGGGGTGCATTTTAATAACATTTTATTTTAAAAAAGCCATCAATAACTGTTTTGTCAGTATGAAATACTCCCATTCATTGTCTCACCAGAAATTGAAAACACATCTGGAGGAATGCTCACAAGCCAAGGAATATCAATCAGTCTGCAAACAAGTCGGAAGTGTCAGCACAGTAATGGCTTTTGTTTGAGGAAGAGTCCATAGCTGGTGCACAGAGGGTTTTAAAACAATAATCTTTCTGGCATAATGACTAGGTAATATGGATAGTCCATTTATCTTTGATTAGATTTTTTTGATGCAGGGATTCATTCCCTTGGCTCTCTGTTTCATTATTCTTTCTAATTACCTGCACTGATTCGCCCATCAAGCGTCGGTACACTGGCAAGATGTAATTGCTTCTGCCATAAATCAAGAAACATTTGGGGGTGTCTAGAGAGCTCCTGCTCCATTAATACAAATGCATTCCGCAGCCAGGCATATGTTCATATTGATAAATCCAATCTTTCATTTTGACATTTTGCTATTTGATGTGCTCAGTCTCCAGCTGAATGCTCTGGGACTTCCTACACAGTTGTGCTTGACAGAATGTATACAGAGGCAATGCCGGATTCTTCCTTTGTCAAAAATCTGCCTTGTCCTTGAGAAAAGCGCACTTTGCATTTGTGATTGGGATGCCACTGGGTGAAGCATTAGTACAGCCACAGTTGTCTGCCAAGGTCAAGGAGCGCATTGTGTCTTAATGAGGCCCCAGCTCTGATAAACATTCAGCTGGTGGCTCCCACTGCTGCTTCATTTATATTGTACAAAAATGAAAAACACGTAAAAACTTGTAAGATGAACAACATGTATTCTAGTAGGCAGAGTTATTTTTCTAATTTAGTTGGGGCTTTATTCAAACAGTTCTCACAGCAGCACAGTGGAGAGCGGTGGCCGGAGGTGAAATGTGAATGAGCTAAGTTAAGGCAGACAGAACTGGGACTTAGCTCTTAGCCTCAGGGTCAAAGTGATAATGTATGAACTTAGCTCCAGCATGCAAGCAGACAGCGCTACATTAGTGACCAACGAGTGTCTTAGAGTGGGTGTTTTATTCTGAAAGTGACATAGCAAGTCACCGGGACACCAGGACCTCTGTTCCTGCTGCATCAGATTTATCTGTTGCATTTATTTCCTTTTCACAATTCTCACACTGACCTTAGTATGATTTAAGCATTAACTTTCTCATTAATGCTCAGTGCTTGCTAATTCTAACATGCAATTCTTTGTTAGAATTGTACTGAACTGTTTTACTTTTAAAAACACAGCAAGGTCTTTGTTTCATTAATTCTATCAACACACCCAGGAGAACATTTTTGTATTCTATTAGAATTGGCAAGGACACAAAGCTGGCATGCGGCTTGTTGAAACCTGCATTAAATGTTGAACGAACAGACCAAAGACAAAAAAATCAGATGAAAACTTATTCTGATCTCTCACCCTTGTCAGATTTAGTCGTGCAATACAGTGCATGTGTGTGATCTGTTGACTTCTGGCTGTCCTTGCTTAAGAGCATCTAGTCTGAACAAATTCACTCAGCCTGGGCATGTTGGCCTCTTGTGCACCAACAGTGAAGAGCAGCTTCAACTGACAAGAGTGCCCAGTGTACTAAAATCACTGGAGTGTAGTAACCTAAATGGTCTCCCACTAAGCACTTACTACCTTATGTTTTACAGTAATTTCTGTTCTCATTTGAGATAGGAACTCTCTGGGCTTCTACCTACCTGTATTATATACTGTATATAGTATACACTGTACACTTTTCCATTATTTTGTTTTGGTGGCCTACAACTGTTTTTGATTAAAAATAAATAAATAAATAAAATAAAAAAGCTCTGATGAACTGACGAACCCACTCCACATGAATGCTAATATTACTATATATCTGCTGGATGCGTAAATATAACTGTTTGTTACCATTTTCATCAGATTTGAAAATGACTAGACTTCAATTAAAAAGGAGAAATGTTTGTTTACCTGTTTTTGGTTTCTCTTATTTACAACATACTGAAACATGATAGCACAAAAATAAGGACAAACTTTGAAATGCAAGCTTGCCTGCTAATGTCTCCTGCTTGTTCACTAGCATGAACCCATGTCTTATCCTGCACCTCGGCTGACTGTACAAGCTAACAAAACTGTGGGAAAGGTGCTAATTTATTTGACCTACTAGAGAGTAAATAAGCTGGTCAGTTAGGACGTTGAGCATTTAAATTTTATGTCAAGATGGGTTGGTTTCCATTCTAATGTCCTGGTCCTTATTCCGTAGTGCCACTGCTAACAAGACACGGCCTATCCTTGGCTTTTAAGCTAGTTTCTAGAGTACGCTTGTTTATGTTGTGTCTTGCAGCCCTGCTAACTCAGCACTCTGTCAAACACATATAGGCTACATGGACTTTCATACAGCGTGTTATTATGAGGAACATTATTAACACACAGATTTTTGTGGTTAAACTGTAGCAGACTGATACATGCACACAGTTTGAGTGAGTTCCACTCTTTACAGGGTAGTTACTGTGGAAGCTGCCATGCTGTTTCCCATGAGCACAGATCTGATGGCTGGAGATATTTCTGGCTCTCATGCAACAGCAATGGATGCATACAGTTCTATAAAGCCTGCATCCTCCCACTGGATAAGTTCAAATGGCTTATGTAGAAACACTTAGTGGGATGACTAAGGTGCAGCTGGCAGTGACCCAGGTTAATATGGTTAAAGCACTCTAGTGCCAGTATCTGCAGTCACAGAGGCACACAGGGTGCTGAATGCAGAAAACAGAACAGATGTCTTCAGAGTCGTATAGAGAAGTGCAGGGGGCAGTGATACTGAAGCTGCTGTATAAGCAGCTGTGCCGAGGCCTGCACGGTGGCTGAGGTGGCTGTAACAGTGATTTCCCCACAGTCTGCTTCTGCAGACCTATAATCAAATCAGCACCTTTTGTAATGGGACTCATACAGCAGGGATCCTAATTAAAAATGGCATACAAAGCCAATTATTTGAAATGTACTTTTCAGATAGAGCTGAAAAACAGAAGAGAAGCAGAACTAGAGAGGAAGCACATAGGCCTCCATCATTAAAACACATAGATGTGATATTAGGAAATGCATCACAACATAGAGAATAAGATCAGTGTAACTGTATGTTTATGATTCTGTATGATCTCTGTACCCTTAAAAAACACTTTTTGTGTTTCCCTGGTGTGTTTTTAATCATTTTTTGAACAACAACAGTGGTCTATAGCACAGACAAATAAGCTGATCCAGGATTGACAGACATTAACACTGAGTAAAGGCAAATCATTGTTGGTTTTAGTCTTTGCACAGGGATCATTTACAATAGTGTTAAATATAAAAAATGACCATACTTATCCTCAACAAGCTCAACAACACCACTCCTGTCCAACAAGGAGACTGAGAGGATTAAAAATAAAAGCTCTTGAATCTCCTCTCAAAAAAACAGAATTGATTTCATCCTGGAGGACTATACCATTAAGGTATGTTAAGAGGTATGAGAACACTAACGATCATGTTCGTAAACCTGATGTCTTTTGACAAGGAGCTGTGCAGTCTATAAAGGTTTTTAGAGTTGCAGTGAAACAGCAAACAAACTGAAGAGTATAAATCTGAGATCCTCTGGCGGGTACGAAGTGGGATCAAAGTGATTTGGGCAGCCTCTGCCATGTCTGGGTGTACTTAATCAAGTAAAAGTACACAGTGAGACACAATCTCTTTGTATGTGATTTACTCAAGTCATAATTCATTTGGAATTGAAGGAGATGAGGAACAGGAAGAAGGTTACATTGAGTTGTGAGGAAATGATTTGAGCTGGCTGCTGATGGTTAGGACCATTGATGCGTGGCTGTGGTCTGTACTACTCATGTCCTTAAAGTCTTCTAGATGAGACTTTTGGCTTCTCTACTGCACTTTACAGAGCTCAGTCAACAGCGTGGGCTGCAGTGTGGTGGATTTCTTGTTGATAAATGCTGAACTTCTGTTGTGAAGGCGGTTCAAATAGAAATATAAATGAATGCTACCTATTTCCCCAGTGATAAAAAAATAGGTTATTTATTCAGTGCAGAGCTTGTTTGATAGCTCTAATTTGATGTTAAATTCTGGTCTAGGGTAGCATGTGATTTGTGAACTTATGATTACAGGGTGCTCCTCAGGAGGTTGACCGTGCATGTATGTAGGGGTAGTTGCATAATATCCGAATTAGAACCTATATGCAACATATTTGTGAGGCTTTAGAGCTGAAAGTTGCCCCAGGCGGTGGTATCAGGGGTGAGATGGAAACTATTAACCGACGCATTACAGATCAAATAGCAAATATCCGTGGACACATCTTCGCGCACATTTTCACAGTTCACTAACTGACACGGGGGAGAAGGCTGCTCTACCAAGTGGAAGCTTTCGTTGCTGTTTATTTTATCCTGCCAGCCCAGTACAGCTGCTGAATATTCATGATTGTGCCTCCAAACGTCAGGACGCAGCGGCAGCTCTTCCTCCTGACAGAGAGCGGTGGGGCTGGGAGGAGAGGCAGGATGCCAGAGTCCGGCTGCATCTCTCCCACCGACACCGAGCATCGGTATCATTTGACAACATTTGAGGGCAAATCTGCTCTCAGCTCATCCTGCTCTGCGCCGACAACAAGGGAATCAACGATGGACTGACGGAACACACAAACAGAGCGAAGGAGAAGGAGGGAGAGAGAGAGAGAGGGGGGACAGAGAGAGAGAGAGAAACGCTGCCTTGTTATTGGCACATGCACATATTTTCTGGACATATGCTCCTCGGGTTTTGCAGAGCGGGACAGATCGAGTGACCACAACGCCTTTGAAAAGGAAGATGATCCAGCAAAGCAGTGATAGCGGGAGGATGCTTCGATACGAGCGGTTCTTGCAGTGTAGCTCCTGCAAGATGGACCAGACAGATTGAGGCTAAGGAACTGGCGACTTATCACTTTGCGGAGGAGAGATGTTTTGCTTTTGCCTCAGGCTGTTTTAGAGGATGAATACCTTCCCTGGCCTCATTTCTCGAGTGTAATATATAGCTCAGCGTGCAGCTGTTTCTCGGATAGTGAAGCCCATAAACGCATCTCTTAGACGCTGCAGCCGAGCGCCCTGGTCCCCAGCAACGTTTCCCACCTTGAACTTCCATGTGACGGCTGTGATGCCCCGCTACGAGGTGAGAGCAGCCCCCTGAGCTGTCCGCGGTGCTGAACGGATCAGCCGGGTCCTCGGGTCTCCACGAGTTGACCTTCTCTCCACCGAGCAGAAAATCCACCTGCAACACACAGTAAGGTAGCAAAGCAGGCCACCGCACACGGACAGCTGCTGGGCTTGACCGAGTCAGCCAGACAATATTCTCTTTGATGGCTGTGGCACGCAAAATCAAAACTTTGCTGACCGTCAACATTTTAGTGTTTGTGGGGATTATCCTGTTCTCGGTGTACTGCAGGATCCAGGACCGATCCGAGGAGCTCATCCAGGTAGGGCGTCTTTCCGACCAGAGGCTGCGAGCCAGGAATGGCAAAGTTTCCAACCTGGTGGACAGACAGTCTATTCTTCAGAGGCTGGAGAGGCTGGAGGATGTGGTCTACAATCAGCTGAACGGTACGAAACGGTTCAGAATCTCAGCACTGGCTAAATCTGTGACTTGAAGTCATCATCATCATAAAGCATAATTACCACCAAAACGAAATAACTTATAAAAATATAGATTAATTTGTTATGGAATACAAAATTTAGAAGGTGCATACACTCATGTGAGTTTTTCAAGAGGCATGACTTGACCTTTTTTCTGTCAGCATGTAGTCTTATTTCTTAAAGCACAGAGAAAATCAACCTCATTTTACTAATGATACAAAGTCCAGAGTGCTGGTGAGTAGGGGCCTGCTCTGTCTGAAGCTCTACGTTAAACAGCTAATGAAGCAGGGTGATGTATACCTGCTGACAGACTGTTAAAGTAGCAGCCTATCACAACTATGACCCCTATAACCTGTAATTGACTTGTTGTACAGCTTCATATAAAGTTAAGCTTTAGGTATTGATGTCTGTAGTGGTGTATAAAGTCCCACTTGGAAGAAGTCTGTATGTCAGTACTGTAACTCCTGTCATTTCACAGGAGGCAGCACTGGTGAAACATATCAGATTTAACAAGCTGTCTAAGTTTTGAAGGTGTTTCTAATGTTATAACTCTATATTGAAATGACAGGCCTGTATTTCATTATGTTGACCCTTAGTCTGTGGGCCTGATTTAGTGTCCTCAGCAGAGCAGCTAGTTTAAAAATCAGGGCATACTATATATTGTATGGCTCTGTCTTACTCATGGTCAAGTTCTCCTTTGGGATATCCACACAATAACAAGTAATGATTCAGATATTTGGCATTGTTTTCACACAGATGTTTGAAAAGACTGATCTGGATACAGTGCACGAGCCATCCCAACTTTATAACTAATCACCCCATCCATCCATCCATTTTCCTCCGCTTATCCAGGACCGGGTCACGGGGGCAGCAGTCTAAGCAAAGATGCCCAGACCTCCCTCTCTCCAGACACTTCTCCTCTCCCGTACCCTGGCATAGACTTTCCCGGGGAGGCTGAGGAGTGTGATCCCCCTATAGTTGGAACACTCCCTCCGGTCCCCCTTCTTAAAAAGAGGGACCACCACCCCAGTCTACCAGTCCAGAGGCACTGTCCCTGACCGCCATGCGATGTTGCAAAGGCGTGTCAACCAAGACAGCCCAACAACATCCAGAGACTTAAGGTACTCAGGGCGGATCTCATCCACCCCTGGTGCCTTGCCACCGAGAAGCTTCTTGACTACCTCAGTGACTTGAGCTTGGGTGATGGACGAGTCCACCTCTGAGCCCTCAGCCTCTGCTTCCTCATCGGAAGACATGGCGCCGGGATTGAAGAGATCCTCGAAGTATTCCTTCCACCTTCCGACAATATCCCCAGTTGAGGTCAACAGCTGCCCACCTCCATTGTAAACAGTTTCGGCAGGGCACTGCTTCCCCCTCCGGAGGCGCCGGACGGTTTGCCAGAATCTCTTCGAGGCCGACCGATAGTCCTTCTCCATGGCCTCACCGAACTCTTCCCAGACCCGAGTTGAGAGAGGCTGGACTCTCTACTACTCTGTTAGTTATAATTAGACTAAACAGATTCGAGTGATTTTATACTGAACACTGTTTTGAACAGTTGCCAAGCTGCTTGTGATATTTATGCTTTTTAAAACATGATAATGCATCCTAAAGTTTTTTTATGTGTTTGCAAAATTTGATTAAATCCATTCATATACATTTGCAA